CCAAAGTAGAGTTTTGTTTTATTTTAAATACAATAACTATATAGTTTTCGTAGGTCAGACTTTTGGAAAAAGTTGGTGTAAGAGATCGTTGGAAAGAGTTTTTTGCAAACTCGTGATATATTGATGTCTACTATATCTATTATATATATTATTTCTATTATATCTATTAGTTTTATTACTATAAATAGTATTTATTAGCAATAGAGTAGTCTTTATTGTAATTATGTATACATGTAAAATATCTATAAAAATATTACTTTCTGACCTTTCAAGAAAGTTAAGTGTCTCTATATACTTCAATAGGAAATGTCTTTATACATTTCATAATGAATAAACTGAATGCAATATTTAGTATCTTTATATACTATTTATTATTACATCTGTCTTAAAATCCCAAATCACTTAGTATTTTGTTAAGTCTTGTATAGACTTTTAGATAGAACCTGTCAAGTTATAATCATCATACTATAGTTGAACAGCTTCTGTTATTACTATGATTAAAGAAAAAACTACAGGTTAACAGTACCTAGATGATAGTTATAAGCTAAACAGTATATTTAATTATAATTAAATAGATAGGCAACTAATCAATATATATTAGTAATTTTGATATAACAATTTTTTTATATTAATATAATGATCATTGATACTGTTATAGAGAAAATCTGACTTGGTATATTGTTAAGCAGATTTATTTTTATTTTTGTTAATAGATTATTATTACAGATTGTTGATAACATATACAAAGTTTTTATATTAAGAATAAGAGTAGTATTATTGGCTTTATAGATAATAATATCTGAATATTATATTTGTTTACAAAGGTCTTGTAATTCAAGAGCTTTGTAATAGATTTGTGAAATAACTTATATTAATAAGTTCTATAATAGATTTATTGTTATTAAAATTGTTAAAAATTTATTTAAAAATGTAGAAAAAATAATGTTAAAGAAAGGCATTTCTTTAGTCTTTTTATATTTATTAAAATTCTCTTTGTACTCTATACTAAGTAATCTTTGACATAGTAATTTGTAATTTGTTTAACCCATATTGTCTTTTATTAATTTCATTTAACTCATATTATTTTACACTTAATAATGACTAAATTTGTTTAATACATACTTTTTCTTTGTGTTTTATTTAAGGCTATATTGTTTATAATATATATTAAACAATTCTTTGTTCTAAAAATTAGACAAATTTGTATTATTACATATTTAGTTTTTCTATTTTTGTAATTATAGTATTTTTTATATTATCTTTTTTTTAAAAAGTAAGGTCTTTGAACTTTATTTACTAATTTGTTTAAAATTAACAATTTTGTTCTGATTAGTTTATCTATTTCTAATTTTAGCAATTATATTATTTTTTTTTTTAAATATTAATGGTAAGATCAGCAATTATATTGTTTCTGTTATGATTGTTCTTTATCTATTAATAAATTTTTAATTTTTTTATTATTTTTTTTTTATTATTTATTTCATCAAATTTTTTCTATATTTTAATCTATAAAACTTTTATCTTCTTTTCTTTTTCTACTAGTTTCTTTATTAAAAAATCTTTATTGTTAATAAATTTGTCTTTTTATATATTGTTTTTCACTAAAATATATATACTTTTTAGACTGTAAACTTGTCCTATCTAATATTGAGATATTTTAAAATAAGGCTAATTATCTATTTAAGTAAGCTAGTCAGATAATTTGTTTTGGCCTTAGTAAACAATTTCTTTTTTATTATTTTTTTTATTTTTTTTTGTAGTTAAGTGATAGCTAACACTTAATTGCTTTTAATATTTTTACTTTCATTATTTAAATATATTATTTAGAATATATTTTTTTAACTTTTTACTTTATAGATACCTTGCCAAAATAAAAATTATGCAACTTCTATCCATTTGTTCTTCTTCTAGAATCAAGTTATAAATTCAAAAACTAAAATAAGTAAAAAAACTTCATCAAATTTTAAGACAATTTAACAAGAATAACAATAAAACACTATCCACAAGCAGGTAGTTACAGAAAGAAATTTGTTATGAGTTTGAGTTGCAAATTTAAAAGATAAGGTTTAGAAATTGTAAAGAAAATTAAAGAAAAAAATGAGTTAAAAATATTTTTGTAATACTTTGTAAATAGTAATAATAATAATAATAATATTTATATTAAATATAACTGATTTTTTTTAAATTTGTACTAAGTTTTTATAATTAATAAAAAAATAATAATTTATAAAATAATAATAAGTAATAAATAAATAATGTTTATAAAAATAATAATAAATTTTATTGTTCATAATATTGTTTTAAATGATTATTATTATAGTATTTTTGTAAAATTTGTTTCTTGTTATTGTAAAGTTAATAAGCAACATTTTCTAACTTAGCCCGATTTCTTTCAGCGCCCATTTCTGTTCCCGCTTAATACATTTGTCATTGACATGTGTTGTTTATACGTGCATCTGAGCTTCCCACGCTGTTTGGTCCTTCACATGTGTAGGCTGGTGTTTGAGGCTGTCGTGTGGCTGTTTTCTTTTCGATCACGTAAAATACTATCACTACACAATGTTTATATGTTAACCAATAACATTCATTTTAAATGGTATATATTATAGGAAATATCGATAGATCCGGATGTTGATCATGTTAGATTCAATAAAATATTTCAGGAATTAGATCCACATGATTAGTGGTGCCATAATTGATAGGGATGTTAAGTGGTGCGTCTGGTCCGGTCCGGCCCGGTCCCTAAAAACTCTAGTCCAGGACTAATTAAAAACTAGTTCACTCCTCTGTCAAAAAGTGGTCATATTGGGATTTACTCGAAAAAGGAAATTTGATTCTGTAAATAAAAAAAGTGCGTAAAAACACAGATTTAGGGTTAGAACGTTAACACCAGAGACTATAGCCATAGACTATTGTTCATTATATTTCTGATATTTTTAATTAGTGCATCAAGGCCGATTTAAACACTGGTTTTTGAGTATTTTCGCTTTTTCTTTTTTTACACGTGTTCGGAATTCATGTCGGCTAATCCGGAACGATCAAACTTTGAACTCACTGATTGGCTATTTTCTTTTAGGAGTTTGTATTTGCAACTAATCAATTTTTCCTATCATGTGACTAGATTTGTTGATTGGCCAATCAAACTAAAGAAATCAACACAGCCAGCCCGAGTAGACAGAATATCTCGGAATTTAACTAGTTAATTTAATCAACTAGTTGTTTCAAAATTTTCCAAATCAATTAGTTGGAAAGTTGTCAACTAGTTGATTTTCAACTAACGATTGGATAACTAGCTAGGTGTATAAATTTTTTATTACAAATTTAGGGTCGGAATAGGCCCAGAGTTAGGTAATAATGCCGGTTAACTATACTACACTAAAATTATCATCTGGGCAGCTTTACTTAGTATGTGGCTACCATTTTATTAGTAATGTTGAATTTTGGTTGTTCCACTGATCTATCCATTTTTTACAAGGGGATCACCGAATTTCCATCGCATTTATGCCGGTATTTAGCAATACAAGTCAACTATTTCTGGGCCAAAATTATCAGCTGGGTAGCTTTATTTAATGAGTGGACCATGGCGTAACCTACGGTGGCTAAGTCGAAACAAGCGTGCTAGATTTGGCTGGTGGGTTCTTCCGTAGGTAAGTACTAGTCTCCTCTTTAAGTCTTTCCTTCAACCTTTTCGTCTATTAACCTTTGCCTTCTCTTGTCTTCTTTTTACTGCCTCAACCCGGGATTACGCTTCGTCGAATCGGGTTGGAACTCTTCTATGACGTTAACGGCCTTCTTGGTCACGTGGCTTATGGCGAGCGATCAATTTGCGGCTTAATGGTATATGAGCGAACGATAGTGATAACGATGGGATTAACGATAGTTTATTAGTTTGGATTGGGTTATATTTTCACTTTTATTATGGGTCGGATACTCAGTTTTATGTATGCAAATGTATTTACTTGAGGTATATTTGTTACTTTCCCCCTGGGCGAGAAGCCCTTTATTTATAATAAAAGTATTATTTACATTCGAGGTTAATTTCCTCTACATTACTTATTTACACTATATCATCATTAAAACCCTTATCCCTACTATCATAAAGAAGAAACGAATGTTCTATATACTGTCGATCTACCCGAAGTAATAAAAGTAATAAAAGTAGAAAAGTAAGAAAAGTAAAATTTCTTTTACTTTTCATGTGACCAATTACTCGGGTAGGGGACGGGACCTTAATTCGACGATCGATCACGTGTAACCGTGATAACGTTAGGACCAATTTCGGGCTCACACGAGACATTCCGACCCGGAATGTTGGTGACCCTGTATGAGTTGAACGCAGTGTTGTGCGACATTGTCCCCTCAAAATTGCGGGGACACGGACAGTGTCCCATGTCCTGGACAATGTCCCATGTCCGTGATGGTTGTCCCATGTTATATGGTTTATCGAACAACCTGATTGGCTAACACGGCTATTCTTATTATAATTTTAATTGCCCGGGACAAAAAAATATTGGCGGACATGTCCGGGACGTCCCGTCCCGGACTGTCCGCGTCCGTGTCCCATGACAACACTGGTTGAACGTACGTACATACATAATCACAAATTAGGAATTTGTATTACTTATAAAAATTAAAAACCTGCATGATAACTGATAATAGTTTGATCTAAAAAAAATGTCTTTTTCATCAGTTTTTCGTATTTTCCAGCTCAGATCACGTTCAAATACTAACCTGGTCTCATTCACAAACTCTCTACTGCATCGTCCGCTAACTACAACTCTTTCACTACGCAATGACAATAATGTTCAAAATGAAGCTTTAACTGAAGGTGAAAAATATCTTTATGAAAAGCTATCTAAAAAATTTCAACCTACGAAACTAAATGTTCAGGACATTTCTGGTATACTAATCTTTTTATCTAAGTTTAAGTTGGAATATATTACTAATGAAGTTTAATAGGCGGTTGTGGTTCAATGTATGCAATAGAAATTTCTTCTTCAGTGTTTAAAGACTTATCAATGATAAAACAACATAGAATGGTAAATGAATTATTACAAGATGATATTAAAAAAATGCATGGAATTAGGGTAAGCTAATTTTTTGTACTGTAATTCTCGAAATAGCGTCTTAATTTGAACTGAAATTCCATGCTCGCTATTTCGAGAATTTATGTTATTCAAATTTTTACTTTGTTTTTATATTAATTTAATTTCTTGTTAGCTTATAACATCTGCATCATAAATTTCTAAAAGTTTATAAACAAATTTTATCTGTAATTTTATTTTAATAAATTTTGTTATATAAATTAAACAATAATTATTTAATTAGTATATATTTTATATTATTGGAATTTGTATATTTATATTATTTGTGTAATTTATTTAAAGAAATTAATATATATACTAGAGATGCGATCCGTTATCTATTTTCGTATTAGAATTTAACGGATATTCAGATATCCAGATTCTTCATAATAAATTTGTTATTAACCTAAGGGATATTCGGATCAAATCTCTAATATATTAAAAAAATTTTGTTGTATGTTTTTTAAACAGGTTTATTAAGATTTTTATTAAACTTATAGTATATAAAATTATATAAATATGAGCGTTCAACTCTTTCTGACAATCCTTTGAACAACAATCAAAAACCGAGTTACAGAAAAATCATATATAACGACTCAAGAAAACATTACTTTTAGTTTTTTACAAATAAGTTGTTTGTTAACAAAGCTAAGAACATGTTAACATTAAGAAAAAAAACAAAAATCTTGATAAGTTTGTATTTTGGATTAAGTTTTCTTGTTACAGATTCTCTTAGTACATTTGGTATCAAAATTGAAATAATATTCTATGAAGCAGTAAAAAAAAAATTTTAATTAGGATTATTAAAGCTTAAAAACATCATTATATAACTATAAAGCTTATTTGAAGAATTACATATATCCTTATTGGCTTATTACTTTTTATTAATAAAAATTTTAGTTTATTTTCTTCAAAATATTAATATGTAAATTTATTAAAATAATCATTAATATTTATTTTTTTTAAAACAGAATTAATAGATAAATAAGTACAAACCAATATAGTTAATAAATAAACATATTTTATACATATGTTTTAAGTAATTAAATAATTGTTAAATATTATTTCAAGATTAACTAATGAACTAGTTTCTGATGTTGACTTTTTATAAATCAAGTTTAAGTTTTTTTCAAGTAAATAAGTAAATAAATAAAGTTAGTTGTAAAAAAATATTTTTATTTAATATAATTTATAATTTTTAAAAACTTAGTATAGACTTATAATTGTAAATATTTAAGAAATATTTAATTATTCTATATAGATAAGTTATTTATTTATTTTTTTGCTTTATTTTATTTTTATTTTTTTATTTCTTAGTTTTATTTATATTATTACCTTCTATATCTTAATATTTTTTTAATTTAAAGTTTTTTTTATTTTTTACAAAAAAATATTATAAAAGTATAGCAATTTAGTGTAGTTAGTAAGCTGTTAATCTTTAAATAACATGTTTATTGTTTAAATCTTAACTATAATAAAATTTAAAAAATTATATATATGTTATAATAAATTGTTTCTTAATAATTAATTAGATTAATGTATTTGTAATCTTAAATACATCAGTCAAATAGAAGCTCAAAGCATTTATGCAAAATGTAAAATTACATATATATAAACAAATGTTTATTAGTATTACAAAAGACTTCAATGCAAACTTATAATAAAATTATTTGATATAAAAGACTAAAAAATTAGAGAAACTAAATTTTATTTGGAAATTTTTGAATAAAGTAATAGTATAAACTTTTAACAGAGTATTAAACTAATAAAAGTTTATAAATAATTTAAAAAAAAACAAACAAAAAAAAATAAATAATAAATATATATAAAAAAATATATAACCAACCAGGCTATTAGAACTTATAAAAAAAATATATCAAAGATTTGATTATAAGTTTATATTAGACTGTTATAGAATAAATTATTTATTTTTTTTATTTTTTTTCTTCTTTTGACTAGTCTTGCCAAGATCTTTTAGTGTTTTATCATATTTTTTAAACTAATCTTTTTAATATACTCTCGATTACTAGACTTTGATCTTTTCTAGTTCATACTTTTAAATTTTTTAGAAGCAATCATTACACTAATTCTTGCCAGTATCAGAAGGCTTTGCTAGGCTCTATCAAGAACCAGCTATCATCATAAATTTATGTAATATCTTTTATTGTCAGACTTTTAGACTTACATTATGTCTTATAACTTTAGTTATTTCAAATCAGAATCTAACTCATATTCATTATCAAGTAGTTTCTTAACTGCAGATTACTTGATATTTCTAAAAATAAGTTTATTCTTTGAATGTTTCAGATTCCTAGTTCTGCAATATTGCAGTTTCCTATTTTGAAAATACATCTCTACAATTACTATTACTAGAATTTAAACTAGCAATCTTGCAATTTGTGACTTCAGAGTATAATTGTTATACTATTGACCTTAGAGGTCTAGAATGAATTATTATTATTTTATTATTATTATTATTTTATTTTTTTTATTTTTATTTTTTATTTTTTTTACTTATGCTAAGACCATAGTTATCAACAGCTATTGCCTTTATTGTATTTTAATTATAATTACATAATTTGTATAAGATGAGTATACAACTAGTCACATATATAACTTTTAGTTGTCTATTTTAAGTAGTCTGCCCATATAGCAGATTCTATACTAGCTGTTATATTTGCAATCTACTAGGAAATTACCTATTTAAATACTCTAATTCTTATACTTATATTGACAAATAGCATACAAGTTCCCATACATCTAAGTACCATCTAACCTAACTGTGATCTCTCTATCTGTATATCTGTTAAGCTGTTACATATTTCAAAGTACATCACCTGACTATAGAGCTCCAGAAGGCCTGTCTGTTAACTAACTATCTACATTTAGTCTCTTGTTAGCAAGGCTTGTCCTTGCAAAGTTCACCCAAACTCTAGTATCAACTTTATAGCATATCTCTAGTACTTATAGTATATCCTTGTTTCTGACTTTAGACTTCCAATCCAAATAGCCTCAATAGGACTATGACCTGTTTTTGGTACCCTAAGATCTGCTCTCAAGGTCTTTTTTCTCTAGTTCAAGACTTTTGGTAGTCTGGTTGGTGGTAACTTTCATCTGAAGTTCTTGTTTACCTGATTTCTTCTATATTGATATTCATTTTTAGGTCTAGCTTTATAGTAGTACTGTTAAAGATCTGTGCTATCTCTTTACTTGGGACTTCCCAAGTGGGCTCTGGTTTTCCAGTTTACAGATTTATATAGCCACAAGAGCTTATCTTAAGTTTGCACTACCTAATATCAGTTTGCATTCTTTTGTATAACTTCAATATTGTACAGATGTTCTATGACCTGCCAGTTATCTGATGTAATCATATTACAGGTACTGATCCTAACTGATCAACAGAATGCTATTGCTGTAATACTGCTTACCTTCCATAATACCAATATAACATATGTGGTTTTTTAAATTTTTATTGTCAGTAGATTTTGAACTCCCAACCTACCACTTGGAGGGTTAACAACTTAGCCACTTCACTAAGTCATCACACCCTATTATTATTTTATTATTATTATTTTATTATTATTATTTAGTATTAGTAAAATTTAAAAATCCTTTCTGTGTTATAGTTAACTGTCTCTCGTAATTGGTTGAAATAAGATATCTGTTATATGTGTCACACTAGCATTACTGGCAGATCATATGGCATTGGTGTAACAGTTACATAACATTGTCCTTTGAGACAAGGTTTGTAGTTATACAAAGAAATGCAAAATGGTACCAGATAATACAAATCTACAATAAGTCTTTGTGCTTATAAAAATTATAGAAACCAAAAGTCTACTTGGAAGACTTGAGTAAAGAGGTAACCTAAACTTTTGATAGTGCTACTGTAAAAACTAAACTTATAAAATAGAGTTAGAATTGGTAAAACTAGACAAATATGCTGGTTTTTGAGAAAAAACCAAATGAACCAACCAGGCCACCAAAATTTCCAGATTTTAGAAAAAAAGTATATATGCCAACAAATATGTAAACCAGAGATATATAGTTTCAACCTACCTTTCTAGACTATTTGGAATAATAGCTTGGTAAAACTTTAATTGAATACCAAAGTAATAAGGATATGTTGTGAAGTCAGTACTAGGGTTGGAATAAATTCTATAAGGATATAGCAGTTTAATAATACAGTCTGACTTCTAGTATTGGTCTTAGCTATAGCAATATCAGATTAGCTATAAGAATGAAATACAGAAGATTCTAAAAGGTTTAATATAGGTTAAAGGTTCTAAAGAACTGCTTTAAAGACTTAGTGATTATAGCATATTTTCACTAACATCAGCTAAGGTCATTGGTAGACAGAAGTAAATAGGTAAATACAGAAACTAAAATGGTTAAATAGGAAACTTACAAGTAGGTTCCATATATAGCAGCTAGTATAGAACCTTCAGGTAGAATATTTAAATTAGACAATAATTAAAGTTGTACAAGTGGCTAGTTGTGCACTCTTTCTATAGTTGCTCCCTATAGTTGTAATACAACTATTAGCCAAATATACTATCAATAAAATTCTGAGTCACAAGTACTCATCTTAATATTTAAAAAAAAAAAATTATTTAGTATTAGTTATTTCATTATTATATTATTATTAGTAGTTGCTAGAACTTTTCAGTCACTTAGTAATCACTTAGTCACTTAGTTACCTAATCACTTAGTTACTTAGTCATTTAATCATCTAGTTACTTAGTTATTTAGTCACTTAGTAATTAGGTACTTAGTATTATTAGTTATTAGTTACTAAAACCTTCTAGTTACTTAGTAATTACTTAGCACTTAGTTGCTTAGTCACTTAATACTTAGTTACTTAGTTGCTTGACTGCTTAATCACTTAGCTTACAGATATATAAACTTTGCTAAATTCTCTAAGTGCAATTAAGCAACAGACATCTCTCTTCTCTTTAATATTGTAAACATATCTTAAAATTCTTTAAAAACAGAAACCTAAGAATAGCCCT